GCTAAGATTGTAAAGATAAATAAAAAACGGTCCCTGACTTCAGGTAATTCAAAATATGACCAATAAAGATAGAAAAGTACACACACAAGTGGTTATAACAGATGTATATGCTACAATATAGTGATTAACATAGATTTTATCAGATCACTCTGCAGTGTCCCTATCATGAAGAAATTCTTTAACTTTAAAATAAGTTATGGTAGCTCTTCCCTGCCATACATTTAACATTCACCTTTACTGCAATGCCTTTAAATTATAATCATTTGTTTAAAATGTTGTGCTCCACTGTAAACACTGAGTTCTTCAAGGAGAAGAGGTATAATTTATTCATCAATTAATGAATAAAAGAATATACTTGCTAATAGCTTTTTTTTTTTTTTTTTTTGGAAGGAGAGACAAGTAAGAGCAGTCAAGATGGCTATGTTTATCTATAGCTGACATGGATTTTCAAGGGTTAGGGACAACTTAAGCAAGCAAAGAAAAGTATTAACACTAATATTGCCTGAGAGAATTAACAAGAAATGTAAGTAAATGAGAGGGAAAATTATTTTTAATGACAAATTATATCATCAAGGCAGAGTGAATTTGAGATGTTGACAGGACATCCTTGAGAAACTTCTAGCAGAAATGTTGACCCTGTAGACAGGAAAGAAATCTGGTTTAGAGATGTGAATGAGTGTCATGATCATGGAAGTGATATCAAAGTTGGGGAAGATTAGGAGATTTCCAGGAAGAATGTCTAAAGTGAATTAAGATTAAGTTCTAAATATTGGGGAAATCAGAGGAATCCCAACAAAGAGGACACTGAGGACTCTAGGGAAGTTAGCATGGAGCCTCGAGGCTCTGCATTGATATATTTTAAGAGAGAAGGGGTGAGAAGCTGGCAGGCAGGGGATCATGGTACTAAGTAAGCTCTGAGACATAATTCCTGGGTCCATATTTCAGCCCCATCGTGGAATCTTGAGCATGTCATTTAACCTAACTGAACCTCTTTCATTCTAATGTCTGTCTCATAGATTTGTTAGAGGATTAGATAATATTATAAGAGTAGAACACATAATAAGTATTCAATTCATGATGTCATTGACCACTGTGAAAATAATTTCAGTAAAGTATTAGGAGGAAGATCTTGGAATCCAGAGGAAAAGAGAGACATAACACTATGCCTTTGAGATTTGAAAAAAACAACAACTTTTGAATAAAATAAAATTTCTAAGGAGCCCTGAGAAATCACCTGAAGTTAGATAACTTGAATCTATATGTATTCAGTCATTATAATTAGTTTTTATATATAATATATAAAATATTATAGTATAATAAAATATATTATAATAAAATATTATGTTAGTAATTATAATTAGTTGACTTTATTGTTATTCTTCAAAATGAGAATGAAGAAAACATATATTTAATTAATATAAAATCAGGACAGATATGGAAGAGGATATGGTGGCAAGAACTAGAATATAACACTAAACTATCATTTTAGTGATCCTTTTCCTCCAGTATCTTTGGGTACTGGACCATTTGATACAAAGCTCAGTGGAGTGAAAAACATAAGAAGACTTAACAATAGATAATAGAAACTATCTCTAAATATATATGACAATTAGGAATGAGTAGATTTTAGAGTACTCACAGTATAGAAAGAAGATGGTGGTCCAAAAATGAGATTGTAGAATTTGAGTCTTAGAGGTATAACAGATTGAGAAGATGGGAAAAAGTAAGGTATTATAAAATGCCCACGTAAGTGATACATTTGCTTCCCACACAACCCTGTGAGATAGGAAAGTCAGAATATCAAGTTTAAGTGAATATACCAGCTAAGCACCTCCATTTATATCATTTTAATCACAAAGGTATTGTGTTCATGTGAAACTTTAAGTGGTTTTAAAATAGGACATATGTGGTGGTTATGATTCCGATAAGAATTGTTACATTTAACTTTATAGCCATTGATGCTAGAATTTAAATTGATAGGAGCTTTTATTAGAAGTATTGATGCCTATCTCCTTACCAGATAAATAATCACTTTAAAAATACTCATCATAAAGTTTACCTTTTTGTTTAATTTTATTATTTAAATCCAGGATATACTGTGTGCCAGGCATTCCTTTAAAATTCACTTTATATAAATATGAGATATTACCTCCATTATTGCTTTTCTCTTAATCTCCATGAAACAGAAGACTTTTATTCAACATTTAGGTGTTAGTCATTTATTTAAATAATAGAAATTCAAAGAAAAATTATACGTTCTCTGTGCTTACAAAAATCAGAGGATAATGGTCCATTTAAACCTGTTTTATTGATTTATTAAACAATGGGCCAAATCCAGTCCTATTAGACTATACATGGTATTATGGCAGGGTGGAGGAGAGCTAACTATTCATCCTGACAGCAGAGAGCAAAGAGTCTTCCTGGAAGAGGTCTTATGAAGGTAAGGATCACTTGGTCAGATAGGCAAGGGGTAGCTTGAGCAATGGCAGAGGTTGGAAATCACATAATGGTGATGGGAACTGAATGTGGTTCTAAGTCAAAGTTTAGAAAGTGAGGCAGGGCATGTGAAATATTGACACTGAAGATGTGGCCTAGAGCCATATAGTGAATAGCCTTGTTATCTTTTTAAGGAGCCTTAACTGTGCTTTAAACTAGTGATTATTAAAATATGTATATTTATATTTGTAATATCTTATATATTGTTATATATACATAAACTTTCTTATCACATGTAATGCATGTATATATATATATATATAAATATGCATTACATATATATATGCATTACTGTGATAAGATAGTTTATGTATATATAACATATACAGGTATCTATATATATAAAAGCCTAAGCGACCGAATGACCAAAGGACCAGTTAACTGGTTGCTGTGACATGCACTGACCACCTGGGGGCAGACGCTGCCCCTTGGTCATCAGTGTGCTCTCACAGCCATCCTCCTGTGGCCAGCCAACCTCCCGTGGTCTCTCCACTGCTAGCCAGCCCCCATACCCCCTATAGGGACTGGTCGAGATGGCCCCAATGATCCTAAATCACTGGCCAGGCTCAGGAACCCCACCTGTGCATGAATTTATTCACCGGACCTCTAGTGAAAAAATATAAAGGATATAGTAAAGAAGAATAATACATTTTGAATTGTGAATATATTGATTGAGATTCTTATGTGCAAACTGCAGAATCTACTTTGGCTAATTTAATGAATCATAGGGTATTGCAAGGCTCTCTGGATTGTTGGTATGATTGGAGAACCAGGCTCTTTGCAGGCTCTTAACCAACCATAGCCACAGGGCATCACCACTTTCTCCACTGGATACCGCTGACACTTGGTCAGATATCTGCCAGTGCTGATGGAGAGATGAGCAAATCTGCTGCTATGTTTCCCAGAAGGTTGTTTTTTTGCATTTGTGACTCTGGGTACATATGTTTCAGGCCACGTGGAATTGTGAGTGTTTTTGTAGACTACCTTAGGAAGGTAAGACTCATAATGTGGGAAATTATCAAAATGAGGTATAGTGAGAGTATTCAAAAGATCTGAATAACCACAAATGACAGATATTTATGACAGTAATACAAAATACCTCTTTGCTCTCAAGGAAAAAAAATACAATTGTTACCGTTAATAATCAAATTTATAAATGTTTTTGATAATCATGATACTTTATGCTATCAGTACCTAATATCTCAATCCAAATGCACACCTAGGGAGGATCACATTAACAATATTTGCTATAAATTCAAATTCTCTTCCTAACAATACCATTTTTAGTTGTTTTCATATGTTATATGAATACATCACTATTATTTTCAATTTATGTGACTCCTAAAGCACACATATAGATATTCTCTTCAACATGTGGATTATTTGTAGGAGGTCTTTAAAAAGCCCCTTGTCTATTTTGTGAAACTTAGCTTTTGCCTCTATCTGATATCTGTATTCACTGTGCATGAGTTTACTTACTGGAGCACGGTAAGCAGCAGCTCTGCATCACAGCAGACTAAGGACCAACCAATAAACGATAGAACTGTGCTCTTCCCCTTTGCTCTCTGGAGCCCCATTCTCCTTCAGGTGACCGAATCCTTATTTCTGCATCATATGATACATTGACTAGTGACAGTGCCCATGTTAGTCCGTTTTACTCATTCTTCTCTGGATATAAACTAAATATATTCAGAATTTCAGGGTGATATATATATATATATATATATATATATATATATATATATATATATATATATATATATAAAATCAGTGGACTTCTCATGTGTCCCATCAGTACATTCCACTTGAGAATCTACTTCTTTGGGAAAGAGAACTCTTTGAAGAGTGTTAAGGAGGAGAGTGGTATGGCCAGATGTGACCTTTTGACCATTGGCCCAACTTCAGCTGGTGAAGTTGTATTAAGAAAGACCAAAGTCAAGAAGGCCAGACTGTACTGGCCAGATTCTGTGAGATATGACAAGAGGGATGCTATGATAGAATGAATTTCAGTGTTCAAGATTTGGTGAATGATTGGACGTAGTTACTAAGAAAGGACAAAGAATAAAGGATGACTTTGGTTTCTGACTTAAGCACAGTTTTGTTTTGTTTTCTTTTATTTAGAATAAAGTGTGAATTCTTAGGTGCTATGTGACTCCTGATTACTGTTTCTGGAGGGAAGGGGAGGGGGACTCGTGGTGTAATGTTATTCTTTCCCGATATTATGTAATGTTTGTATCAGGGTTTCCATTCAGTCTATATATATTCCCCCAGAACCTAGATCTACTCTAGACACTGATTCTTTGCAATATCAGATAAGATTATTCTCAGGTCTGCATCAATTCTTATTAATATTATTTTCTAAAAATGGACAGTGAATAATTGTTCCTCTTAACATTAAAACAAAGGATTGTCTTTTGAAAGCACGATTAGGGTCACATGGAAATGAGATGGCTAGCATTGTGCAACCCATGTGAGTTCACTGCTGCTGCATGTCTTGCCTTTAGCTGGGATGACAGCAGTTCGGTGAGCAGTGGTCTGAGCGACACCCTCGATAACATCAGCACCGATGACTTGAACACAGCATCCTCAGTCAGCTCTTATTCCAACATCACTCTCCCTTCCAGGAAGAACACTCAGGTAAGAATCACTTGCTTTCCTTTTCCAGTGCTTCTGCCAGATTTTACCCCAAATCATTATATTTTAGAACTAAATTTAGCATAATCTTTTAATCTGAAATAATTACATAAACTGAAGCAGCTTGTGTGTATATATATTTTCTATGGATTAAAATCTAACCCACAAAGATGTATGTTGCCATCTCTCTCTTAGTATTGATATAATTGTTTAAAATATAAAAAATATTTTAATACTCTGAATTTGAGTAGTTCTTAATTAATATTATATTTATCTCTGAAATAAGTTTCCAGGTCTCTTGAGGATGGTAAATCAAGAATGGATATTAGATAATTAAATTTGATCTTGTCTTACCTTTTCTTGTTAGATTTGCCATAGAAAAAATTACCTCTTCACTTAAGTGTTTAATTAGGGTTTTCTGCACATATATTTATGTTGACATTCTCTAATATGTATAAGTGAGAATTCTGTGGCTGAAATTAGTGAAACTTAAATGAAAACAGAAAAAAAGCAGAGGACATTTTAGAATTCTCTTGAAATATAAATCAGTGCTTTAAACACACACACACACACACACACACACACACACACACACACACAGTTAACAGAATATAAATTTCAGTGCCTGATTCACACTTTATAGGTTTTTCTGCACAATGTGCTTCTGTCATATTTTCTTCACAGCTGAAGACAGATTCAGAGAAACGCCCCACCACAGATGAGCCGTGGGATGGCACCGAGGAGCTGAAAAAAGCAGAAGAGGACTTCGACAGCCACGCGGATGGCGGTGGCAAGTGGAAGGGTGCTTCCTCGGGCCTTCCCGAAGACCCTGAGAAGGCGGGGCAAAAGGCCGCCCTGGCTGTTTCCCAGACAGGTTCCTGGAGAAGGGGCATGTCTGCCCAGGGAGGGGCGTCGTCCAGGCAGAAAGCTGGAACCAGTGCTCTCAAGACCCCTGGTAGGCTTGTCAGTGGACAGCTGCTCTGCACAAGTGTTTCAATGGGTTGTTTCTATTTAATCTTTGTTCTCTGTAATAATAGCTTTCTTTTTATTAAACCCTTCTTCCACATATCTATAACAACCTAAGCATTCTCTAGAAATCACTGTCATAATTTGGAGTTATTGAGTATCTTTATTTTGCCACAGCCATTTCTCATCATGTGGTAGTAAAATAAGGCTATTTTTATTTTTTTTTTAAAAAAAGAACTTTGTTTTAGTTCTGACTGCCTTGTGAAAGTTTTGAATAGTTGTATTAATGCCTCAAAGTTTCACTACTAACTCTGAGAGATAAGATCAGCCATTTTAATGGGTTAGAATGCTGGGGATTTGGAACATCTTTTTTTTTTTAATATATGTTATTGATTGTTTTACAGAGAGGAGGGAGAGAAATAGAGGAAAAGCAAGGAGAGGGAAACATCAATCAGTTGCCTCCTGCACACCCCCTACTGGGGATGTGCCCACAACCAAGGTACATGCCCTTGACTGGGATTGAACTTGGTACCTTTCAGTCCACAGGCTGACTCTCTATCCACTGAACCAAACCGGTTTTGGCTGGAACATCTTTATGAAAGAATTCTTTGAAACTGCAGCATCCTTTTTTCCCCCCCTAAGACTCTCTCCCTACTTTTTAAACGGTGCCTAATTTTAAATAGTGCCACCTGAAGCACTGGTGTAACAGGGCACTCCAAATGTAATCATCTCACGGATATTCAAATGAACTCCTTCGCTAGTACTTAACTTGATTGAATGAAGTGCTATCCTTCTAAAGAAAGAGTTGCAAGATATACAGCAATAATAAATAGCATAATTACGTGTTTTCAATGAACTCCCTGATCTCTCACCACATTTGTCTAATAGCCCTATTTTTTTTCCGCAGCTTTTTACTCAATATTTTAGAGTGCATGCCTATTTAGATCTAAAATAGATGTATCTCTAGGAACTGAAATCATATATAGATGCATTCCCTGTTCACAGATTCTTGAAAGAAATATCATTATGAAATCATACTGTGCAGGCCAATAAATGCGTGTCTTTCTCATTAGGGAAAACGGATGATACCAAAGCTTCTGAGAAAGGCAAGACTCCCCTGAAGGGATCCTCGCTGCAGAGGTCCCCTTCCGACGCGGGGAAGAGCAGCGGGGATGAGGGGAAGAAGCCGCCCTCGGGAATAGCCAGGTCCACTGCCACGGGCTCCTTCGGGTTTAAGAAGCCCAGCGGAGTAGGGTCATCTCCCGGGATCACGAGCAGCAGCGGAGCCACCATCACCAGCGGGTCGGCCACGCTGGGGAAAATTCCCAAGTCCGCTGCTATCGGTGGGAAGTCCAACGCCGGGAGGAAAACCAGCCTGGACGGCTCCCAGAACCAGGACGACGTGGTGCTGCACGCGAGCTCCAAGGCCTCGCTGCAGTACCGCAGCCTGCCCCGCCCGTCCAAGTCCAGCGCCAGCGGCATCCCCGGCCGCGGCGGCCACCGGTCCAGCACCAGCAGCATCGACTCCAACGTCAGCAGCAAGTCGGCGGGCGCCGCCACCTCCAAGCTGAGGGAGCCCACCAAGATCGGGTCCGGGCGCTCCAGTCCGGTCACGGTCAACCAGACGGACAAGGAGAAGGAGAAAGTGGCCGTCTCAGACTCAGAGAGTGTTTCTTTGTCAGGTTCCCCCAAGTCCAGCCCCACCTCTGCCAGTGCCTGTGGGACACAAGGGCTCAGGCAGCCAGGGTCCAAGTACCCTGACATCGCCTCACCGACATTCCGAAGGTAAGGATGGGGACCATGAGGAGAGGAGGCTGGGAAAATGCACAATGGCATGTGCATAGACACACAAGTGTATTCTGAGACGCATACGTATTAGGTTCTTTTATTCCATTTTGAGCACAGTGAGGTTTAAGGAACTGATCTTATAAACAGCACAAAAGTGGTGCTCCTTTTGAGAAATGCTCAAACTTTCCAGTTTTGTTATCTATTATTGTGATACTAGAGGTGGGGGTGGGGACAGGACAGAAGAGGGGCGGGGGAGGACCCGTCCCCTGGTGGATCTCCTGGTTGAACTGGTCAAGGGGACAATTTTCATATTAGCCTTTTCTTATATAGGATTAGCAACGCCAGCAGCATTTATAAGAGACTTAAATGCACATAGCGATACCTAGGGAAAGTGAAAAGATAAAGTAATAGCTTGTAAATTTCCATAGATTTTCCACCTCTTTTTTCATGATTAAAAATAAAGTAAAACAAAATAGATCCTTATGACTATTATTTTCCATTTTCAATATTAATTAACCTTCTGGCTCTTAATGAGTTGATGATCATGAAGGTAGAGGAAGTGTTCCCTTGTAACAGTATGCTAGACACATTTATGTACTACTGTATCTTGACCTTTTTTGAAAATTAAGGTACAATATGATTGACAGAATTTGAAAGCCTTCTTCTGATGTTGGGAATAGGATGACAACTAAGGAATGCACTAGGTTTTCTAACTCTTCATCAGATTTCTTGACATGAGTGTGGTAAGAAGAAGGGCTTGGCTTCTGTACTAGGACTGTCTTTGTTATTGAATATGTAGAGTTCTGCACTGAAATATCACTATATTTAAATATTAGTCTGTTCTAAATGACAGGAAGAGACATACAGTTAAAGACTTGGGACAAATAGTTAAACTTTTGCAGGTATGTTTTCTCATTGGGAAAATGATAGAGTATGATTTATATGCTATTACATGCTAAGTGTTTTTAATGTTTGTTTTTATTATAGTGCCTAAACCAAAAACCTTAATATCTGGGAAGGAAAAGAGTCTCAAAATAGTTGTATTTCAAGTAATCTCAGATATATGATTGTTTGAAAAATTAGAAGGTGTATTCCTCAGTAGAAATATTAATCCTGAAGAACTGGCTTTTTGAAATGTTGATTCTCATCAGAAAGAATAAACTATGGCTTATAGTGAGAGTAAATATTTCTGTCGCTCAAGTAAAAGCCAAGAGTGCCCTCCAGTGGCCCATTACCTATGAAACAATTTCTCATATTCGCCATAAAATATTTCACTATAGGAAATATGGATTTCATTGCAACTTAATTAGTAATCATTATGCCATTACTTCATATCACTTTATTTCCATATTTACATAAATTTGATAATGTCATCTTCACTTACAAAACTAAAATGTTTTCTCAACTAAGCTCCGCAGCATCTAACCTTTGCACCAACTATGTTTCAAATCACTAACAAAAATACGAATTTGAATAGCACTGGCAACTGACAGAAAACCCTGTGACCTTTCTTGGGGAAAATAAAGACAAAGCTGACATGTTGCCAGTAATGTCAACTATTATCTCTCACCAACTACTTCCTAATGGTTACTCAGGCTGGCAACTGTGCAACATAACCTCCCAAACCTTGCCTGACACACTCCTGTTAGACCTGAATAAAATGTTAAGCATGTTTCTTACATACCGAATGCGTAGAAGTTGTTTCATTATAATGGTTCTATAAATAGGTAACAGCAAATGCAGTCAAACTTAATTTTTATGAAAGCTTCTCAAGGTCCCTTACATTGTGAAAGCCAGCGATGTTCATGTCTGATTGACTTTGGTTTGCCCTCTTCCCCCCAGCCCCTGGGCAGTAGCATCCCAGTGTGACCTTACCCTAATGGTGATCTGAGAGATTTTTAGCAGCAGAATAATAATTTCAAGCTTACAGAGTTCATTAACATAGAGATAGGAGGTGCTTGGTAGCTGGGCACATCCAAGCACCCTTGGCTCTATGTACTGAACCCTTCATATTAAATGTGGATATTAGTTTTCTCGGAACAACTGAAGTTGTTATTTGTTTTTCTTTTAGGTTGTTTGGTGCCAAGGCAGGTGGCAAATCTGCCTCTGCACCTAGTACTGAGGGTGTGAAATCCTCCTCAGTAATGCCCAGCCCTAGTACCACCTTAGCTCGCCAAGGCAGCCTGGAGTCACCGTCGTCCGGCACGGGCAGCATGGGCAGTGCTGGTGGGCTAAGTGGCAGCAGCAGCCCTCTCTTCAATAAGCCCTCAGACTTAACCACAGACGTCATAAGCTTAAGTCACTCGTTGGCGTCCAGCCCGGCATCGGTTCACTCTTTCACGTCAGGTGGTCTCGTGTGGGCTGCCAATCTGAGCAGTTCCTCTGCGGGCAGCAAGGACACTCCGAGTTACCAGTCCATGACTAGCCTCCATACGAGCTCTGAGTCCATTGACCTCCCCCTCAGCCACCATGGCTCCCTGTCTGGACTGACCACAGGCACTCACGAGGTGCAGAGCCTGCTCATGAGAACGGGTAGTGTGAGATCTACTCTCTCAGAAAGGTGAGCTTTCCGGAGGCATGGATGCAGCCCTCCCCATGCCACCCCCCCACCGTGCCCACCCTTTTCCCCATTAAATCCCTGTGATTACAGTGAGAGTGCCACTTTGCAAAGGGGCATAAAATGGATGCGAATGGGCCTTTCATTTGCTCTTATTACCAAATTTGCACAAGAAAAAAAATCTTTAAGGATAGGATAATTGGATAATTAAGTTTCTTGATATGAATTCATACACATACCCAACAGGCAGTGGGAATAAAATTCAAAGCATGCATTTATGTCTTAAATGATGTCTTCTCGAGCCATTTTAATGATTTGGCTTAAACTCCAGGACAACACAGCTCCTTATGGTAATTTAAGCATTTTTAAAGACCAAATTTAAATCAATTCTACAATTATGCTCTGAGCAATATATGTTAAAGTTGCTTTATAAGCACTTCTATGGAAAAATAGCAAATGGACCACTTGGGGAATTCTAGTTTAATTAGAAAAGAAAAATCAATTGTCAGATATGAATTCTTACAGAAAATTATAATAGCACCAGTGACATTTTTATAAGGCCCTTTGAAAATGCATTTCATTACAAACTATTTCTCATTGGTTTAATGAGTTATGGGTTTTTGAAAATTAAAATGAAAAGTATAATGAGGCATTTCTTACCTGTAATACTTACTAGAAAGTATCATTGATGACTAAAGTGGATCTAGATTCTCTCCCCACAAAAGTTCCTTTCTTAGGTATTTTGGTATTGATTCATTTCCCCAGGAAAATATTTTAAAACTGCGACTTTTTTCTAATGAACTTATTGCTATTTGTTTCTTGGCACACCTAAAGCTTTTAAAGACAAAAAAAAAAAAGGTCTTGGGCACATACCTTAATCCTGTTATTTGTGAAAGCACTACTAGTCACTGAAATTGTCTGATATCCTTCCCTAAATCAGGAGCGGAGCGTCCGGCCCATGGGCCCTAAAGTCCCACAAAATCATTTGGTCGGGTTGTGCCAGGGCATTAGGGGTGAGTTCATTAAATGTTTGACCAAATATAGCAGGCTAATTTTTTAAAGTTGATAATTTTGTATGACCTGTGAATAATGTTATAAATATATAGATGGCCCTTGGCAAAAAAAAAGTTCCCTCCCCACCCTTCCCTAAATTTTTGTCAGTCTAGTAATGATGCTGGCTAGCCTTACTCCCAGAATCATTTGTTAAAGACATCAGCTAAAGCCCTTATCTAAACACTCACTCCAGTGTACCATTTGTCCATCAATGTAAGATTTTCCACTGCTCTTCCCTGTTTCTCTTGCTTTCCTGAAATAAAACCCAGAGCAAAACATTGCTGCCATCCCATTTGCTTCCCACTCCCCCATCAGTGGTACATGGACAGCCATGCAAATGAGACTTCCCCTTGAGAAAAGGATTTTAAAGCTAATTGTAACATTGATGCTTGATACTTCTTATGGTAGGCTGCTAATTACAAAATACAACTTTCCTCACAAACAAAAAAATTGTTCCAGGAGAAATAGAATAAGCAGCTGGGTAGTATTTCCCCTCTAGGTTTGTCATTATGGGCAGCATACACAAAAACACTGGTATAAGTACTATTGCATTTAATATTTGATCTAAAAAGTTAACTTTTTACAGCATCCTAGATGTGAGTTTCAGCACTTTACAGGTAAATAGGTATTCTCATATGTCATTTTCAAAAATTCTAACAAGTAAATAAAATTATATTGAAAATATATTAACAACCTGTAGTTTTAATGAACATATCCTAGATAGTTTACTGATATGTGAGGAATCCAAATAATTTTATAACCAAATCAAGTAAATTGCAAATAAGTTATTCTTCATCAAAATGACTTTCTAAAATGCTAATTAATTTTTAGTCATAAACATGACTGCAATAAATTGATAATTTAGTCATCAATCTATTTCTTTCAGACATTTAAAATTCAAAATAATAATCAACTAGTTGTAATCATGTAGCTAGCCCTCAAATTAAGCCAGATGATAAGTTGAAATTATGTGTGTGTGTGTGTATATATATATATATATATATATATATATATATATATATATAATAAATGCAATGTTAATATTTTAGTTTGATCCATATTTTAGATGTCAATATATATTTTCACTATACAAATGCACTGGCAAGTAGGCAGTTACTTATTCTCTTTAAGCAAATATTTAACTGTTGTTCATTCATTGAAGCAGACCAGTTTTACAAGTGAGAATGTTTTAATATTAGAAATAGCCAGATGAACAATTTTTCTAAATTAACTTTTTAAATTAATTTTGAACAAGTTAATGTTTGCCATTGATTGTTAGTAAAATATATTGATGACTATTAAACTGTGAAAATTAAATACATTCATGGGTATAGTATATGATATAAGTATTGATTAGTTCCTCCAGAAGTTGTACTTTTTCTTTCTTGAGAACAAAATTGAAAGTAGTTTCATCTAATCCTTCAAAGCACATTTAAAAAAAGTGTATGATCTATTGAAGACAAAATTAGATCCTATCAGAGATGCTGGCTTAGTTACAATTAAGCAATCAGTAGAATGTTGAGAACACTAAAGAAACCAAAGTGCCATACCTGAAAGAAAGTATACTGCAATGTAAATACCTAAGATTATGTAATTAGAGACAGGTAATAGAAGTAAACAGAAGCTCCTGCCTTAACCTTTTCATCTACAATATCTACTGTATTAATAATCGTATTAGAGTACCCTTGACTCAGTTTTTCATAAAAATTTTAATTTTTGTTTAAAATTCTATCTATCATCTTTAAAAGAAGATAAAATATCATAAAGTAATAAATAAACAAACCAGCAATAAGTTCTTATTTTCCCTTTAGCTACTCTAGTCATTGGTAGCCCTTAGGCCATAACCAGTTCATATTTGTTCTGTTTGTTTTGCTTTATGTGACTTAACCAAATTTGGAAAATAATTTAAAGTAGTAACCAACTTTAGAAAGTTCTAGCTTGTCTCTAAATGTCCGATCTAATAACATGGCATTCACTGTCCTGCACAGGCGCCTATTGGCTTTAGACAAACAGTGACTGTCCTTTTCAGTTTATTGATTAAAATCCCCACTCCACTTATTTCCATGGCCTGCCTGGCCCTTGTAGGCATATGAGTTTGTGATGTTTCAGGATTTATGGAATGTGTCTACATTATAAAATCATTAATATTTATATTTAAACAGATATTTCTACCTAAAGTTTTAACTTACATTGGTAAATTTAATTATATATATTTTGTCTTTCATTAAGTGTTCTTCATGATATAAACATATAATTTTTATACCATTAATAACATTGGCAAAACAATGCCTATATTCAATTTCCTCTCCAATGTTAAACTTTAGTAAATTTGCACACATGAAAAAGATAATCTTTAAAATGGTCTATAATCATATTAATGCTTTAACACAATGTAGTTCACATTTAGAGGTTTCTTGTATTTGTTCAGTGTGATTCCTTTTTGTTTGTTTGGTTAGCCACACTACAAAAAACTTTTATAGACAAGATATATGTTAGAATTGGCCTCTCCATAATATGGCAATTACCTAATGAGGACACTCCCAAAAAATAAAATTAAAGTTTTAGAATGCCTTTGGATGCTTTATATTTCAGAGCCAAATAATGGAGTATACACAGAAGAAAACATTTTAGCTTTGCTTTTGAGTGATTAAAATTCAAGTCAATATGAATTAAATTTCATTCATGCTATGTCATCCCATTATGCATATATCCTGTGTATTTAATTTTGATCATGTGAGGTTCTAATGAAAGAGAGCTATAATTCTGCAAATTCACATTAATTGTACTATTTGGTTATCCACATGCCAGAGATTGCAACAGAAATTCAAGACCTGTTCCATTTAATTATTGAAATCCTCTTCCTCTATTTTTGAGAAGCCATTTCTCATTTCTCCAGACACATTCTTTCATCTCTTTCTACAACCAATTGAGAATTCCCTTGAGAATTCTTTAAAATAGATAATGATAAAGCATAGAGCCTTAAAATACCTAATTTATAATTTCCAAAAAATGGCATAGTGTAATTTCATTAAAACTTGTAAATAAATTATGCCAGGCACATTGTTTCAAGCAGATGTTTATTATATATTATTTGTTCTTTTATATGAAAATAGGAATAAATCTCCCTTTATTTTTATTAAAAATAATTTTAATACTAAAATGAATACTAAGTAAGGTTTGTATCTTCTCTGCCTTGAGAACTTGTCAATTTAACTTAATAGAGCAAGTCTATCTTGATTCCACCTCTGTGTTTCTCTTGCATAGCAGAAGTCTAGTCAGTTGTATGGAGAGAGAAAAACTACAAATTGTGAGGTAAATAGAATATTGAGAGTGATTATTCTAATATACAATTTAATCTGTTCTAATAAGCCTGTCACTAAATTGTAATTGACTGGACATGGGTTAGAAAGGAGCACACATGTGTTGCAACAGTAGATATCTGGTCACCTTTGGTAGTCCTTTTCCAAAGAGTTAAGCATTAAATATATGTTTCAAAAAGCTTATTTTATTTCAAACAGAGAACCATTTTTGTTGGATGTGTAACTTGGAAGTTTTGTTTACATTATGTCCTTAGGGATTTTCTTTGTTTTAACAGCATACAACTTGACAGAAATACACTACCCAAAAAGGGACTAAGGTATATATTCTCTTGGCACAATTGCTGCCTTTCTTTCTCTGTTGTTACTTAAACTTTGTGTGCTGTCTTTCTTCCTCTCCCTGTGTTTGTTTGCAGTGAAGCACCTGGTATTGAGGATGATAGCACTTTTAAACCTTTCTCAGGTCTGAGGAGTAGGTAAGATAGAGCTCAGGTAGAGAAATCATAGAGGATGAGACCCAAATTAAATCTAATGTAGATATCCCTTTGAGGGCAGCAACTTTGGTAGAATGCAGAAATCATTTTTGGAAATTAAAATTAACTTCCTTAACTTTTACATCTTGGGGACATATGCTTGCAAAACCTCAAATCCCATATAGTGTAAGGATGTGGCCAGGTAATGTTGAAAAGGTGCTCTAATTTGAAGCAAGAAAAATATATTTCCATTAGCAGAGGACAAATACTATAATTAGGTATGAGTTTTTAATGAATCATTTTGGTAAAGATTCAAGAATTTTAATTTCTGTGTGTGTTTTTTAAGAGTGCTTATATCTATCAGATTAATTTAAATATTAGTCTAGTGTTATATAATCTCAAAATAACTTTTCAGTTCATCATAAAAAGTAAAAAAAAAAACATAATTTATACCCATCCATTATTGCACACTTTTATCTTAGGGGAAGAATGAACTATAATGGAGCTATGACACCATATGAAAATCAAAAGTTGATTGCTCTTTGGTGCTAAGAATTTACTTATTCTGGTGAAAGTGAGTACTGACCAAATAGGTTTTTTACAGTATCCCTTTTAGCTCCAGTTCCTTAGCAAGAGCAAACAGCTTGCAATTAGTCAATTTTAAGACTCTGTTCTATAGTGTATCTTTAATAATAATCTATAATAATAAAAATGTAATAGTCTAATTAGACTGGATGTCCTTCTGGACAGCCGTCTGGACAAAGCCAGGGCTGCGAGGGCTGAGGTAAGCCGCTGCAGCTGTAAGGGTCGAGCCCCCTTGCACACATTTTGTGCACTGGGCCTCTAGTTTTCTAATAAAGTAAAAACATTCTCCCTCCTTCTTTAAGAAAAAGAAAATCTAGATACGATGTCAAGTGGCATTTTAACCAGATAAATAGTTTCCTTTACTTAAAAAAAAAGAGAGGTGTTAATTTATGTTCCATTCCCTCTGCTTTTCTATGACAATCACTCCAATTCCCTTGTCCACCATTTTCAGTCTATGTTTCTATCCTTTTCAAAACCTCCTAAACACTGTGCTTTTGAGTCCTTCTCAATTAACTCGGCTGTCTGCTCATTGTTTATAATTTTCAACTGCATATCTCACAAAAGCATACTTTTTTTCAAAATTATCTTTTCATCTCCCTGTGAAATTCAAACAGATGGTGTCAAATCATCTGGAAGAACTAAGCACTTATAATTCAATTCAATCTGAGAATGTTGTTTAGTCTGAACAATAAGCTCCTCTCACTTGCTTTCCTCTCTTGCTATTGCTTTGCCCCTTTACATGTGCTTAAGTGTCTCAGCTGTGCTGTTTTGCAGATACACCCCATCATCTCGGCAGGCCAACCAAGAAGAGGGAAAAGAGTGGTTGCGCTCCCATTCAACTGGCGGGCTGCAGGACACCGGCAGCCAGTCGCCTCTGGTCTCTCCTTCTGCCATGTCAACTTCTGCAACAGGAAAATACCACTTCTCAAACTTGGGTAAAATAGTCTAAAATGACAATTTCACCTCATTCCTTTTGCCACCTCCCTCAAAGGAGCCCTTATATCTCTCCCAAAATTTACTTACTTAAAGAAGCGATAAAGGCACCCTAAGAGTACATTTATTTGTGTGATTGCTTACTGTTTACAAAATATTATGCAGTTTGTTGCTCATGATATCTTGACATATATTGTTATTTTACAGTCTAAGGTCCCAAGGGCATAGACCTAAAAGAATCCCCACCACTAGTAAGAAGCAGAGACAATCATTGGTTCCAAACACCCAACTCTAAGCCAAGGGATTCTTTTACACTTCAAAAGGAGTAGGGAATCTTGTATTTTCTTTAAAATGTATTTAAAAACCCATGTAACAAAACTAATCATCTTATTTGTAGAAAAAATAGAAATAATTATTTTTTAAAATGTGACTTTATGACTCCATGATAATTTCTTTCACTGTTTTAAAGTTAAAACCCTCAAATGCACATGAAATTTTCTATAAAATTAATGCACTGTGAAAATTTTTGGATAAATATGATAAAAAAAAATAAATCACTAACCAGCTTAGCCATTGGATTACTTTGTGCTTAGATCAGCTGTAAAAATATAAAATCATTGGTATAAACAGAAGGATGTAAGGAGTCTAAACATACATGCCAGCTATTATTTAATAGATCAATTTTTTTTCTATCCAAAATACATTTTGGATAAAACTTTATGATTAAGAACAGTCCCAGTGAGGCATCTCAAACCTCGTAAGACTCATTGTCATCTCACGAATGATAACAATTGCTCAGATTGGTTTTCTAAACTTGTGCAAGGGTCATCGTGTAGATTTACTATCAACCTGCAACTGCCAAGTTCTATGTACTTGGTGGACTCTTCTGCATACAGAGTGATGTTTAAACACCCTTTTATGGAAGTGCTCTGTATCTGTTTGTGCTTCCAGGGGTCCCTCCAGCTTGAATGACCTTCTAACCCACTTTCTCTGCTCACCTTTCTAGCTATTCAGAATTAACCCCTTTCTTCTATACTCAGGGAAACAGAATCTTAGCTGGAAGATACCTAGACAAAGACTGGAAGCTTGGGAAATTTAGATTTCTTATATTTTCTTTTATTTTTTTTATTTTTCTTTTTCCATTAAAGTAATATATTCTTCCTAAAAAGAAAACTGCAGACTCTAGGAAGACAATCTCTTCTTCATTGGCTAACTGAAAATGTCTTGTTATTGTATTTCTAGCATGAACAATAGAGGTAACTTGCTGGTTTTGTTTAAAACTACTTTAGTAATTGGCATCCTGCTCTCATGGAAGTGCTAGGAGAAAAGAGGGCCTCCCTCCACCTGTTAGTGACCATTTCAGAGGCAGCCTCTTGGCTTATCTTAAATAGGGACACCCTGTAGATCCCTCCTTCCATAAGAATCGGAATCACGTCTTCACTTTCTATCAACCTGCTAGTTTTATCATCCAAGCCCTTTAATAGCAGGCTATGTGTGCTTTGTTTTTCAGTGAGTCCAACAAATCTGTCTCAGTTTAACCTTCCCGGGCCCAGCATGATGCGCTCAAATAGCATCCCAGCGCAAGACTCTTCCTTCGACCTCTATGATGACTCCCAGCTCTGTGGCAGTGCCACGTCTCTGGAGGAAAGACCCCGTGCCATCAGCCATTCCGGCTCCTTTCGAGACAGCATGGAAGAAGGTAGGTGTGGAGGGAGATAAAGGTGAAGTTACTCTATTTAACTCTGAGATTAAAACTATCACATCACAAGAATTCCTGAAGAGGAAATAACGGAGGTTGTGAACTCTTATTTGCTGAGCCCTGAAGTTTGCAGAAGTTTCAGTGTGCATTACACTTTCTTTCTTTATGGATTTGGAAATACGCCAGAAATTGTTTTAATCCTGGACAATAGAATGGTTCAGAATAAATTCTCATGCAAAAATGTACATAATTTTAGAAATTATTTGCCCTCACTATCAGATGTCAGCGTGAATGCTTTGACATCTCAGTTATAGGGCCAAGAGGATATAAGAATCAGAAAAACTTATGAAACTATCATGTTCTCAGAAACTTCCTCTTGTGTTAGTTTTATATCATGTCACTTTTTAATTCATATTGTATCCACTTTTTGCTTTGTAAGTTACATTTCCTTATTTAATGCAATGAAATTCTCACCTGTCCTAATAAATTTATTTGTAGTTGTAAAGTGCTCCATGAACACTTTCTAAAAACATTTAGGAGGCTTAATTGATTTTCAAATGTATATAATTTTCTAAACTATAAAACCTCAAATGTCAAAGTTGATAATAATACTGGGAGATTTTCCTCTTTGATTTAATGAGTAATTTTAAGCACTCATAAAGGAAACATGGCACTCGCATTATAAATCATATCAGTTAATGGTAAAATAAAAGTAAGTGTAGAAGTTAAAATTGATTAGAATAAAATCAAACATTAAATTATCTATACTCTCCTATTCCTTAATAATTATGTATAAAAGAAAAGACTTAGGTCTTGAAAGTTACTATGGCTTAAGCCTCTGGCCACCCATTTATTTGTGGAATGAACATGAGCATATTTCCTAACTTTATTACCCTTAATTTCTGCTCCTATAATTCAGCAGGTTTGTTATGAGGGTGAAATTAAAGTAAAGAATAATTTTGTTCTTTTCTCTGTCCCCTCCCTACTTTCTTATTTAAAGTATCTCTGATTGAAAGCTCAGGCAGCTGTGAACATTAGCTCATGTTTTCAGGTCACCTCTGTGTGCTCAAGGTGCTGGTACTAAATCAGTTCACCACAGATGCCACTGCTTTTGGGATAGTCACCAAACCACTGAGCTCACTGTGAGAAAGAATGGATTCTACCCTGAGAGTCGCCTGATTACCACAATGCAGATATATAGAAAAAGAGATAAATAATCTCCAGTGTTGTCTCTGCTTTTCTGAAATGGTTCTTTCACCCTCTTCATAGGCAGGCCTCTAACAATACTACAGAAACAAATTGCAAAGCATGCTGATGGATTTCTAGAGTGCCTCATTTACAAACAGCATGCTGTTCATACGCTGGAAACTCTGGCCTTCCGTTTATGAGTTTTAAATAATCAGCCTTTCTGACTAAGAGCCTGAGTGGGCAAGATGGCTTTTGGATGGCTATGCATTGAATACTGAATTATTATAATTCTTAAAGTGTGGTCTAGAATCAAGGAATCATTGGGCTAGAGTGATAGAAGGGCGTTTAATGATGCACTACCCCATGGGCACAGTGAAAGATGAGGAAACTAAGCCACAGACTCTAAGATCATAGCCCTATAAGTATTAAGTGATCATAAGAAATGCAGTTAATGGCAGAAATACTGGAAAAGTAGCTGAAAATTAACTGAAAATGGACCTCCAGATCAGTTGTTCATCTTCTTTCTGGTATACCTCACTAGTTCATACCAGGTTGAAAGAATGTGCTTAAAAAAAAAAAAGAATAGAAAAGGCTAACACTTCACAAGTCTCACAAAGGGTAGCATTTACAGTTTTCCCCATCCTCTCCAGACCAGGCTGTAAGCACCTCCCAGGTGTTCTTGTTGTACCCATCGTTGCTCTCGATCATATTTATATTACTCTATTGTAATCATCTTTTTAGTTGTGTATCTTTCTACTTCTTTTTAAGCTCCTAGGATAGTGTCATTCATTTTGTAGTCCCAGGATCTAGCAAGCGCCTGTCATATCATGTGTACTCAACTAATGTTTATTTAGTGGATCTATAAGCAGAAATAACTTGATAATATCCCACAGTAAAAAGGCGAAGGACTTTTCTACAAATATAATTAAGCACCATTTTATCCACATTTTGGACTTATATAATACTAGGCACCTGTTGCAGGAATATTCCTGCAAGACTTCCAGCGGGCTTCCCTCACACCACCCCCACCTCTCCTGCCCCCTCACCTCTCCCACTGTGGCAGGCAGGATGGGCGGGTCGGCCCATTACGCTCGCCCCACCTTGCCCACAGCCACCTCCACCACCTTCCTGGAAGCCATGAGCTGCCACTACCACTGCTGCCTCCTGCCTCCACCACGGCACACCTCGCACCACCCTGTCCCGCCCTACACTCTCTACCAGTGCTTTTCCTCCAGCAGCTGCAGCAGCCTTGCTTTCCATTTTCCCTCCCTCTTCCTTCTATGCAGTCTTCAGTCTTCACTCCTCCCACCCTTGGTGTATGCAAATTAACCACCCATCTTTGTCTGGTTAATTTGCATGCTCACTCTGATTGGCTGGTGGGTGTGGCCGATGGGTGTGGCTTGTGCAGCAGAGTGATGGTTAATTTGCATATTACTCTATTAGGTTAGATATTGGATGTGCAGATGTATACAGCACTCTGTTAATTGAGACAGTGTTTTGATATACGTGGATAAGAAACACCATGCAATTCCCATCCTTAATCTCAGTAAGACACCACGTTGAAATAAAAAGTATTTTTCTATCACTAAAATTACAAAAACAGTAATTCTCCATTTAAAAAATCATAATCAACTCATCAGAAATAATGAACTAGCAAACTGGATAAAATGCTTACTTGCTTGAAAGTACATGGAGAAAAATATTGAAAATGTGTTTTTGTTGTATAAAAATCAAATCAAACACATGAAGTTATTTAAAGTTTTAAAGTTTATGGCAACTGTAGTTCAGGTTTTTATTCTTTTTTTGATTATTGAATCTGAAGGTGTTTACTGTAGTTTTCAATAAGTGCAAAGCATTTCCTCTATAACATGATAAATAAGTTGCTTTAGGGGTAGGTATGCACTCTTTCCATGTCTCAACATTTTATGTACAAAAAAAAATGACAACAGACTTATTCTTGGATTCTTTTGTCTAGCAGTTATGATTTTATTTTTCTGTTCTTTTGAAAGAACAGATTTTCAATTTTCCTCTTGTTCTCTTTTGTTTTCCCCAGTTCATGGCTCTTCGTTATCACTGGTGTCCAGCACTTCTTCTCTTTACTCTACAGTAAGTATTGGCTGTTAAGGAGGAGCTTCTGCCTATGCCAAGCATACACATGATTAAATAGACTGACATTTACATAGAAGTTGCGCAGTGAAACAAAGGCTGTAAGTGAAATACTCTAAGCTACTGCATACCCGATAAGCTGGCAAGTACTGTAATAGCTCTTCTGTGGTCCACTTCCCTGAGCTTCCACTTGACTTTTGTGTGCTCATTATAATCCATTTATGGAAGGAAAACTGAATTTCACAAAACCTGTTAGGGTATAACTTGGAGTCCCTGAAATAATGTAGTAGGCTCTACCATAACTTTATAATATTGAGACGTTTTCCTTGTGTGGTTCCCTGAGCTGTGACTGATCATTGCATTGTTCTACGGTATTTTTTAATAGTATTTTTAAAGTTTATCTTTTTGAAAATATTATACCAAAGACTAAAGGCTTCAGAAGTTTAGATATTTTTTATAAACTTCTGAAATATAATATAATTTTCAAAACTTTATTTCTTAAGAGAGAAATGCCAATTTGTCATCTCATTTTCCCAATATGGGAAATTATATTTTATTTTTACCAAGGTGAGTTTTCTGTCTACTTAACATAATTTAATATTTTTTAAATAGTCTTTAGGATTTTATTTTTATAGGAGGGTTCTTTCATGCCTAGGTAAGAGGGAGGTATATTTAACTTATTGAATTTCACTGACTTGAGTAGTATGAATAATTATTAATCCAGCATTGAAAGGTTCATAAAAAGTTCACAGCCTTGGCTGTTAACTGAGCAATTAAACATTAAGAGAAATACTGATTTTTCCCCCCACTCATTTTTGTTAGGTTTAAATGTTATATCCCTCTTTTTGTAAATTCATTTTAATATTTATTGCTTTACATAGTTACTCAAAATTAGACTATCACCTGCAGAGGCAATATTTTTTTCTTATCATTTCTTCTTTTAGTGATTAAAATTGTCAATAGATTCTGTAACTGAAGCAATCAATATTAGTGTTTAAATAAATTGACTGGGTTAAGCAACTAGGTAAAGAAGTGAGAAATGTGAAAATGTATTGGGAAAAATGCCTAAGCGGAATATGTTAAGAGCTAGTATTCCTCCTATTGAGCCAATACCACTACTTATAAGGAAGATATATTCTGCCGAAACCGGTTTGGCTCAGTGGTAGAGCGTCGGTCTGCGGACTGAAAGGTCCCGGGTTCGATTCTGGTCAAGGGCATGTACCTTGGTTGCAGGCACATCCCCAGTAGGGGTGTGCAAGAGGCAGCTGGTCGATGTTTCTCTCTTATCGACATTTCTAGCTCTCTCTCTCTCTCTTCCTTCCTCTCTGTAAAAAATCAATAAAATATATTTTTTTAAAAAAGATATATTCTAACTGAAGCCATTGCAACTAAAGTCTCTATCTAACATGAAAAGATGCAGCATCATTATAATCATACTAGAGGCCCAGTGAATAAAATTTGTGCACTTGCACGAATAGGGTCCCTAGGCCTGGCCAGTGATCAGGCCCAGTTGGGGCCTTCCAGCTGCACACTGGAGCCTTTCTTTGTTCTGCACCACCTCCTGGTGGTCAGTGAACATCATAGCAATAGAACTTCCAGTGTCCTGGCTGAATTCCTGTGGGGACACTTTGCATGTTAGCCTTTTATATAGAGAGATTTTAAATATACACAAATTTTAAATATTGTGTATCAACATTTGGAAAAAACTACCTTCGTGAAACATAAGAAAAACTCAAAAATAAAAAGATCCTGGGTCTAAGAAAACCGATGGCTAATAAGTGTATAACAGAGTCCAATAGATCTTCTGTGCTAATAAACTGTTCTATAACTGCACTGTCTAATAGCCATACATAACTATTAGATACATAAAGTGTGTCTCTTGTGACAGCAGAGTCAACTTTTTAAATTTAATTAAATTTTAAAAAGCATATATGTCAAGAAGCTACTATATTGGGTATTGCAGGTTTATTGGGAACAGAGGAAGTACATTTAAAAAATGCTTCTCATTTAAGTTAGTAAACATAAATGAGAAGTATTAAGAGTGCAATATGAGCTGAAACTGGTTTGGCTCAATGGATAGAGCGTTGGCTTGGGAACTGAAGGGTCCCAGGTTCGATTCCGGTCAAAGGCATGTACCTTGGTTGCTGGCATATCCCCAGTAGGGGGTGTGCATTAGGCAGCTGATCGATGACTCTCTCTCATCGATGTTTATAACTTTCTATCTCTCTCCCTTCCTCTCTGTAAAAAATCAATAAAATATATTTTTTTAAAAAGAGTGCAATATGAAATGTGAACAGAGATGAAAATAAAGAGACTATATATACATATTTATTGGCCAACATTTAGAGATGAATTGGGTTCTCATGTTAAGTGTGAAAAGCCACATGATTAGGTGATCAAGCCACATGAGAAGGTGATATTATTGGGAAATTAGTAAATTTAAATAGTTCTATTAGAAATTATGTAAATTATATACTTGAATTAATAAGTAACCTGTAATAAAACAATGCATATTTGGAGAATTAATAAACAGAAAAATTAAAGATCATGAGGAGTTATTTTCTTTCTACCCTCCTTACTATGCATTGAGATTTAATCGACAATGATAAAATATCTGTGGAAGTGCTTTTCAAATAGGAAATGAAAAGGCAATTTGTCATTATTTCTATGCCTTCTTAAGGACTGCGGGTAAATATTCTGTTGATTTGCATTCTTGCCTGTCTATATGAGTAATTATTATGTGGCATCAGGCAAGTTGCTAAATTTCTTTGGACTATAGCTATAAATTAAAGTTGGAAAACAGTAGACAGAGCTACCCATGGTTTTTCTGAAGTAATTAGAGAAGACCAGGGACATTGTATACCATGAATCACAAAATGTTGTTGATTGTGTAGTTCTAGAAAGCACCATTTATATCATAGTCCATGTAATTGTATCATTTGAAGTATGTACTGCACAACTAACACAACTGTACATGGTGTTCCTTTGTAAAATAATTAGTGTTTAATATAGATGATGTGTTGTAGAATTGTGCACTTGAAACACATATAATTTGTTAACCAGTGTCATTTCAATAAATTCAAAAATGGGAGGGGGCCGAAACCAGTTTGGCTCAGTGGTAGAGTGTCAGTCTGCGGACTGAAAGGTCCCAGGTTCGATTCTGGTCAGGGGCATGTACATTGGTTGGGGGCACATCCCCGGTGGAGGGTGTGCAGGAGGCAGCTGGTCGATGTTTCTCTCTCATCATCAATATTTCTAGTTCTCTAGCTCTCTCCCTTCCTCTCTGTAAAAAATCAATAAAAAAAAAAAAAAATATATATATATATATATATATATATATATATATTTTAAATGGGAGGGAGAGGGGAGAAGAATTAGTGTTCAGGAAGAAAAAAATTCCTTTTTTGCAAGAACTATTTGGTAAAATACTGCTCTTATTAAACATGGGTATAAACCATGTTTACTGTAATGATCTCATTTATGCAATTTATGAAATTACATATTTTGCCTTAAAATATTAAAACACACTAACAAAGATGGCTTGTTGGAAAGAAACTTTACCTGTAAAATCAGCAATCTAACAAATCCCATTGGAAGAATTCTTTCTTCACACGTAGCTCTGTTAAAACCTCTATCAATTATAGCTGCGGAAAGTTTTCATATGTATCTTGTTATAAAGTATGTAAATAACCTTCTAGAGTTCCTGAGTCAAAATATTCTGGGGGCTTGCAACCTCATTACAAATAAGAGGCCCAGCCGAGACTGGTTTGGCTCAATGGATAGAGCGTCGGCTTGGGGACTGAAAGGTCCCGGGTTCAATTCAGGTCAAGGGCCTGTATCTTGGTTGCTGGCATATCCCCAGTAGGGGTGTGCAAGAGGCAGCTGATCGATGACTCTCTTATCGATGTTTCTAGCTCTCTATCTCTCTCCCTTCCTCTCTGTACAAAATCAATAAAATATATTTTAAAAATAAAAATAAGAGGCCCAGTCTGATCTGCCAAGTTATTGCCTTCGTGTTCTTGTTTTTTAATCCAAACCAACACCGTGAAATTGGAATTTTCACTTAAAAATTTAAAAAATAATAATAATTAAAAAAATACTAAAATATTTAAAAACACTGAGATGAAATTCCTCTAGGGGTACAGTCCCCTGGCTCATCCCTTTTGGATATTGGTATGTTCTTTCAGGCCAGTCTCAGCCTCCACCTCCTTTTCTTTTCTTCCTGAAGTTGAGCTTGGCTGTTATTATTGTGCTATGGATTTCTCATAGGAAAGCAAAAATCCTCATTATCCATGTACTTATGGAAAGTGAGAAAATAATAAAAGATAGCCTAGGAAGCTATGCGATTTTACCTTCAGGTCTCAGAACCCTTTTTGTTCTTCATATGCCTGAACCTGTAATGCATTTACACTTTCCAATAGTTGTTTTCTGAATAGTTATACTGTATATTAAAAAATTTATTGAGCCTGATTTGTTCTTGGAGCCTAATTTTTGTTGGTATAATAAGACCAAGGGCCATGTTTAGTTTATTGTAGATCCCTTTAGCATTTCTTACTAAGACACAGCTAATACTAAAGTAAATATGTATATATTTTAATTTGTAAATTTGAATGGATGAATGAATGGCCAAACAATGACTTACAGAATAATGAATGATCTCAAATATTGTTTAGGTAAGGTATTTATAATGTTTATCATTCTTCAGTACATTGGGCTTGCTTTAAAATCATTGTTTAAAATGAAAAGTAATAGCATGCCATGCCTAACCCACTGAAAAAAATTAATATTCTGATTCATTGCTTCAACTTTATAATAACATCTAACCAGTATTAACAGCCAACTGTAGGAAATAAATTTAATATTAAAGCAAAATATAATTTTGAAAAGTCAGCAATGAGAAAAGTCATCATATACAGTATATAAAGAATTAATAAGTAATAATTACCCTGATAACTAGTATATGTAACTTATCCTGGGCATGTTTAATGAAAAAAAAATGACCACTTCTTTTTTTTTTTAAATATATTTTATTGATTTTTTACAGAGAAGAAGGGAGAGAGCTAGAGAGCTAGAAACGTCGATGAGAGAGAAACATCGACCAGCTGCCTCTTGCACACCCCCTACTGGGGATGTGCCCGCAACCAATGTACATGCCTTTGACTGGAATCGAACCTGGGACCTTTCAGTCCGCAGACCAACACTCTACCGCTGAGCCAAACCAGTTTCGGCAAAAAATGACCACTTCTTGACTTTTTATAAAATATAGAATACATTGGTGGTTTGAAATACACAAGTTATTTATTGAATATGTTTTCTATAGTCTTTGCAAGCCTTGAAGCAGGATTTGGACAGAATAAACTGGCAATAAATATGCAAAGTTCTACAGAAACCAAATAGCCATAGTTAATTGTGTTATATATCTTATGGCAAACCCTCTGCAGCTTTCTATTGATTTTATGAAATTTTTATTTTAAAATTTCTTCCCTAGTTATGATTGAGAAACCAAACTTATATGAAACCTTGACATTATTAAATTTAAAAATGTTTTTACTTAAAAATTTAAAGTTGAGATGTAAATATTCAAGCTTTATGTTAGCATTTATTATTAAAACAATTTTCTTATAAAGGCTATTAAGATTCTAATATTTAACCACTCTTCTAATTTACCACTATATTACTAACTATAAATTGTTTTTTAAGAGCAAAGAAGTATAGGAAAGACGGAACTCAAAGTTGTTTACACATAAAAATATTTTGATGTTTAAAATGCTTTGTTGTGCTTTATGTTTTCTGAAAGAAAAGAAGATATAAAAAATGGTTCAGGTATTGTCTGCGTCAATTCATCAGGCAATACCCCAAGAAGAGATAGCTTTGGATCTGCTCAAAGCAATGAGCAGAATTGTGCTGTTCAACAGTATTATGCGTTCTCCAGCTTTTTCCAGGATGAGAGAGCTTCCCAAATGTAATGGTGCACACAATTCATACGTTGGCATTTTGCAGCCCAGCACAGAGAAGAAAAGCAGAGGGGGGGGGGGGGACTTCTGTAAAGAAGATTTCTAAAGCCAAACACACACACCGCCAGTTTCTGCCGCAATCCTCCTTTGCATCATCTGCAGGAACTGATGTTCCTCAGCCGCTTCGATCACCACCTTAACCCTGGACCTCTCCGTGTTTCTCTGACTTGCAGCCAAATACATGTAATTAATTGTGATTAGGAAAACTAAAAGGAAATAGAAACTAAAGACCCAATTTCTGTGGTTATCAGTAGTGGTCACTGTTTTTTTCCTGCAGCTTTACTGGGCATTCTTTATGATCTGTCAATCACAGAATAAAATTAGAAACTCCTAAAACTTGGCTGCAGATCCCTATAATTTCATGGAGTCTGCATCCTATAATCTGAATTTTAAACATCCAACATTTTAACCTATTTTTGTAGAGTATAATTTTACAACTATTGTGTTTTTGGTCTGGGTCTCAGAGCAATACTATCTCAATTTTAATCCTTTGCTTTTAAGGAATATTATATATCCATAAGTCAAATAAACTATATTTTAAAATACTACATGGCTTATGTATAAATAAATATTCATTTGTAATTCTAAAGGTCCCTGTTCTTACTGTTCTAATATTATGCATTTTACTATGTTCTTGTTAGATCATAATATTTTAAATACAAAGTATAATTATTTTACTCTTACATGTGAAATGAATCAGCATTATTTATAATACATATATATTTTTGCATTTCTCTTTTTCAGGCTGAAGAAAAGGCTCATTCAGAGGTAAAAAAAACTTGTTGCCTTTTTTTTTCTTTTTCCTACAATATTATCTATTTATGCTGAAATAAGGTTTTCTCCCACTAGAGGGCTCTGTTACAATAGCATACCCCTCGGGTTATGGATACAAATAGCTGAAGTAGTTGATAAAAGGTCTTGTATATTTCCTCATAAAAGAAAATGAAAGGCAGTGTTTAGAAGCAAACTTGCCTCTCATATTATAGATTGGAGTCTTAGCTAATAAATTGTGTCTAGTAGTAAGCACTCATAAAATTTTTGATGGATGAATGAGTGTGCAGTCTTTCTATTTTATTAGTCTCTTCCCCCCACAGCCTATAAAACTAACTGCATAGGATTGAGGAAACTATTGAATCTTGAGCTGCAGACCTGCCAGCATCCCAGCCTATCTCGCTGGTGCCAGGATTTTGCTGCCTGTACTTTCTGTCTATACATTTCAGAAGTCACACTTCCTTGCAATTACATACAAATCAGAATTCAACCTGGAGAGAATGTACTTTTTCTGTCTCTTTGTTAAAGAGTTGTGTTGGCCAAGAAGAGCAGGAGGACTGTAATTAGGCCTTTATTCAAGGTACAGTAATGACTATTTGATTGCCTTACACTGAGGCAATCAGACCACAGAGAAAATAAATGTCTTGACAACAGTCTCTACAAAGGAACTCTTTCCTTTGAAGTCAGATTTTATTAACCTTTAATGTAAAATTTGTGATGTGCTTCAAAAATACTGAAAAAGTATTGATTATGCCAATTTGATCTTTGTAATTGCTAGACCAGAAAAGTGATGATGGTTTTTAAAAAAAAACAACACATTTTTATTTGCATTGTATGCACATAGCAAGGTTTCTAACATTGATCATAATATAGCTACTGAAATATAAAAATGCCTTATTAGTAATTATCCAACTTCCTTTTATCATTAATGTCCCAGAATGAGACATGATTGTTAAAAAAATAATTTAGAATATCATCTAATAAAAACTGTTAATTTGAGAAAGCTTCTTTGAATTTGGTTTAAGAACAATATTGATTCTTTAATTTCTGAGACTATTTGGTCATCATCATAGGAATGTAACTCAAAAGTTAATCGGGGCTGGGATGTTTCTCTTTTAAAAAAAAAAAAAAACAGGAGTTGAAAGGAATTGCATTTTTCGAAAATTATAAAAAGTCTTCTATCTCTGCTTCCAGCTTCCAGCTCACTTCTTTTTTAGTCTCTCAATATTGACCACCATTTCTTCTCCAAAAATGTGAAGGGGGAAGAAAGGAAAAAGACAACTAATCAACTGTGTCAAGAATTCTCTTTCAAACTGAGGCAATGTTCCAAAAGTCCAAATACAACCAAAGACTTGTTTTTTTGTAAAAATGGGAAGCATCAGACTATTTGGCATTTAAAAAACTGCAATCTCTTGAGACCAGAAGTGTACTTGTTTACTTATAAATGCTTTACTTTTATGAATCACTTTATATTTCATGGTAACATGAGACATGCAGGTTCAACTGTGAAAGAGCTTAAAGTTTTAAATATAATTTCATATATTCTTCTAGTTTTCTGGTTCAGTTTTATTCAAGGGTGAACTTAACTGAAATGGAAAACATTTTTGCATGTTTATTTTGTTGTTTTATATAGTTACCAAAGGCCCAATGCATGAAATTCATGCACTGCGGGGCAGGGAAGTGGGGGGTCTCAGCCTGGCCTGTGCCATCTCACAGTCCAGGAGCCCTTGGGAGATGTCTGGCTGATGGCTTACTCCTGCTCCCCATGGGTATCAGGCCTAAGCCAGCAGTCAGATATCCTTAGCACTGTCACAGAGGTGGGAGAGGCTACAGCCACCACCACTGCTCTCACCAGCCATGAGCCCCGTTTCTGGCTGACCACCAAGGGGCAGCTCTTGCATTGAGTCAGTGTGTGTCATAGCGACCCTCATGGTCAGTGTGTGTCATAGCGACCAGTCATTCAACCATTCAGTCAATTTGCATATTAGCCTTTTATTATGTAAAGTTTGTACAGTATTACTGATTTTCCTCTTATGTTTAAACTATGGATAATCTATAAAGCCTTATTTAGTAACTTAATAAAGGATATTACAATCAAGATTTGGGATGAGTCTTAGCCATTAAAACTCCAGCCAATAAATTATTTTCAAATATGGGATCATTAAATGTTGAGTTGGAACCAGCTTTCAGTGACTGCAGGGTTTCTCTATCTCTGAGAAGTCGCCGAACATAAAATAAACATGCAAAAAAACTGATAGAAAAATAACACGGAGTGCTTTTCTCTCAAAAAGACTCCAATAACATATATATGTATCTTTAATTTTTTAAAATAATAGATTTTACTACCTGAATTTTATTACTGCAAATTTCTTTTAAGAATCAATAAAGAGTAAACTGATTCTTGAGTCAGGCAGGGATGGCAAATAGAACAAATAAGCATGACTTACTTGGCAGATCGGAGTCCCTGCTTTGACATAGGCACTTATCCCTCTTCTGATCATTGGCTTTTGATGGTTACTGTGCAGCCAGTATTCACATTTCTTTAATTTTTAGAAATTGCTACTGATACAGTGGGGGTAGAAGGAGCTAACTATAATATTTGCTTTGCTTGCTTGGATTGAATTTTAGTTTTATGTGAAAATCTGCTGGCATATTGAATTGATTTTTTTTTAATTACATTCAGCAAATTCATAAACTGCGGAGAGAGTTGGTTGCATCTCAAGAAAAAGTGGCTACCCTCACATCTCAGCTTTCAGCAAATGTAAGTCTCTTTTGATTTTTGTGATATATTAAAACATACTTTTAGATAGTAAATAAGATAATTTTAGTAACAGATTTACACCCTGGCATGTCAAAATTTATACAGACTTAAGTCACTAAACTGTAAAACTCATATAAAGTCAAACTTTCCTGTACATTGAGTAATAAAATATAAACCCAAATTGATAAGGATTCATACTGTGGTTGAAATGGCTTTTTGTTTCTTATAAGGTTGGAAGTATTAGTAACAGTAGCAATGGTTATTTCTTTTCTTGTTCTTATTTTTATCACTCCCCATACATAAGACTTTCTCAAGCCACAATATTATCAGGTGTTGATAGAGATTAACTTTGAAAGATAAAAAATGCATGTGCCCTGCCTGCCTCCTTCAGTGCAATTCATTAGACAATTAGATAAGCATTCATTCTTTCTAACTTAGGTCTAATTATGGATATCTTAGCTGTATTGTAAATGAGATATATTTCTCTCAACAACCTGGGCAGCCTTCTCATAGTTTAAGCAGCAGAGGACAGCAAAAATGATGACAGTGAAGACCATCAATTATATTAACATTTACTGAAGATCTTTCAATGTGCCGCGGAGTACATCGATGTAGAGTAATAAACAGCCTGTGGCCTTGTGCCTCATCCTAAGGAACAATGGTGTTAGAAACAACAGTGAGGGGTAAGCAGGCTCCCGCTATTTTGCCATATGTCCTGCCTCCTTCACTCAACATTAATCTGCTCAGTTCCACTGTGGAGCTCCGGGCCCGCTGCCTGCCTCACTTCTCTGTGCTCTCCACTGAGTTCTCTACCTCCTAGGCAAAGCCTGACAGAGCAAGACTGAGCAGGTATAGCAAGCCCCCTGGGTATGACTTGAATAAGTGAGATTTTTAAGATGGAAAATTATGGTGTAATAAACTTTCACAGTATATAAGTAAGTCATTCTACTCACAATGTATTCATTTTGGCATTGTCTTTGAATTGATTTTATCTTTTCGTCTTTGGGGGAATCTAAATGTTGGATTGATTGACTATATTTATTTTTTATGGACATTGTTAGGAGATTCATAAAAATGATGGTACACTTTAGAAAATGGTTTAGGAAACACTGGAAGAGAACAGTATTATTCAACCTATATTTTGTGTCTAAGTATAACTCTTATATAGCTCAATAGCGGTTGTAAATTTTATACAATAACCTGTATAGTGGTATAAAACACTCCTGTCTAAGTACCTGAATTTGTACCCAGAGGATATATTGTAGTGAAAATACCAAGATACTCTGGGTTCTGTTTATCTGCGACAAGGAAGGCTTCATGATAAACCCCATGCATTAGATAGTAAAGACACTTCCAGATGTCTTGAATGATTACTCAGGTTTTTATTTTATTTCAAAATATCTATTTTATAGACTTATATACTCAGATATTATAATAATAAGTGGCTGCTATACATTGTGGGATTTGGGCTTTCACACAGTAATTTTTAAACTATTTCAATTTAAAAAGCAATACATACTTTCTCCAGTTTGTTGCTCAGTAGATTGGAGCACTGTTCTGTACGTGGAAAGGTCGTGGGTTTGATACCTGGTCAGGGCTCCCACAGAAGGCAACTAATCAATGTTTTTCACATCAGTCTCTCTCTCTCTCTCTCTTTCTCTCTCTCTCTCTCTCTCTCTCTCGCTCTCGCTCTCGCCCTCGCCCTCGCCCTCGCCCTCGCCCTCGCCCTCGCCCTCGCCCTCGCCCTCGCCCTGCGTGTGTGTGTTTGTGTGTGTGTGTGTGTTTGTGTGTGTGTGTCTCCTCATTCTTCCCTTTTCTCTAAAATTAATAAATATATCCTTGGATAAGGATTAAAAACATATTTTTAAAAAGTAGTACATGCTTATTTTATTAAAAAGAAAACCTAGCCCTGGCTAGTGTAGCTCAATTGGTTGGGCATCTTCCAGGGCACCAAGAGACTGCTGGTTCGGCTCCCAGTCAGGGCACCTGCCCAGGTTTCAGGCAGCTCCATTCCCAGTGGGGGGCGTGCAGGAGGCAGCTGATAGATGTTGCTCTCTCACATAGATGTTTCTATCTCTCTCCCCTCTATCTTCCTCTCTCTCTAAACATCAGTAAATCATTCTTTAAAACAAAAGAAAATACACAAAAGAGCTAAAATTAAAAAAAAATGTAAATAAAAAGGCATTATATGTTTTTCCCTCTGAGGTTCTCATCCCATTCATGGTTATTGTTTTCTTGTGTTTCCTTTCAACATTATTTTTTTTACTAGCGGCCCAATGCACAATTCGTGCTAAGAGCTCGAATATAACCTATGTATATATTGCAGTCCCGGCTTTGTCTGAAAGATGTTCTGGACAGTCATTCCGCTGTTATGACATCTGGTCTAATTAGCATGTTATGCTTTTATTATTATAGACATACCCACTAACATAAATATACAAAACCCTCTTGCAAAGGCTTACTACACACACACACACACACACACACACACACACACACACACAGGTAACCTAATTCTAACAAGGGGGGATGTTCCTGGGGGATCAAATCTTCACCATTGTTTCGAAAGGGAGCAAACATTTTAAAACAATGTCAGCCACTTCTGCTCAAATCATGCATATCACACTATTTTCACCATGTTTTCATGACTGTGGAGTATATATTCTCAGCTGGGTGTTGGTATTACCATCATATTACCATCAAATGGTAAAAATTGGTTCCTGGAGTGGAAAAGTAAATTTACCATTTCATGTATAAAGCACAGATATACATAGATTATATAAGCAGGTATCCAGTGTACCTGTGGCATAAACTGGCATAGAGGAAGAAGTAATAAGGGAAAATAATATCTGTAGTCTCTCCCTGGCAGGTGATAATTTTTTTTAAAAAGTAATAAACAGAATTAGAGGAAGTGATGTCAAATAGATGATTTTGTTTTAAAAGTCTAAGTGCTGAAACTGGTTTGGCTCAGTGGATAGAGCGTAGGCCTGCGATCTAAAAGGTCCCAGGTTTGATTCCGGTCAAGGGCATGTACCTTGGTTGCAGACACATCCCCAGTAGGAGGTGTGCAAGAGGCAGCTGATCGATGGATGATTCTCATTGATGTTTCTAACTCTCTATCCCTCTCTCTTCCTCTCTGTAAAAAATCAATAAAATATATATTTTTAGAAAAGTCTAGTCTTAGAGAAAAGTGCAAATATTTCCAGCTTCCCTAATGTATATCTATGTTATCACCAGTAGTCCATTTTGCACATATATATGAGCTTAAAATATATCCTATTTTGCATGATCTTTTTTTTTCTTTATAATGCATTTTAGAAATCTTCTCAAATCATCTCAGATCTACTAAAACAAGCAAAAAACTGTGCATAGAAGCTTTATTTTTTAATAGTGAAAAAAATGGAATCAACCAAAATGTCTATTAAAAGGTTAATGGATAAACAAAATGATATATCCATACCATGGACTACTCCTCAGCAGTAAAAAGAAATGAACCATTGCTACCCATACTTGGGTAGATATCTCCAAGTTCACTCTAAACTGAGTGGAAAAGCACCCTTTCAAAAGGTCACATGGCATGTAATTCCATTTCTATAACATTCAAGAAGGGCACAGTTACAGAAATGAACAGCAACTTAATTGTTGTCAAGGATTAGGGACGATGATCACCTTTCTCCCTGAAAGGTGGGTGGCTGTAACTGTAAAAGCATTTCAATGAGTTAATCATTTCTTATGTGAATCTATATATCTGTACCAATATTGAATTCCTGGTTTTGATATCACACCATAATTATGTAAGATGTAACCCACTATGGGAAACTGGGTAAAGGGTACATGGGTCTCCTCAATGCTCTCTTTGCACTTCCTGTGAACCTATAAGTATTTCAAATTAAAAAATAAAATAAAGTAAAGTAAAATAAAATACAAAGGAACTACCACAGCTTTTGAAAAAGATGTCTAGTTTTTAATTTCTAAGGTATTTCAACCTTATTTCACCATTTACTGCTTCTTTATTTTGTGGTAATATGGGTTGTTAAAGCTTTTACAATCATATATTTTTATTGCTGAAATGACAAAAGATGAAAGTGAAGAAATTAAGGAATGAAGTTATTCATTATCTTCTACTCTACAAGAAATTTATGAAAAAAATCACTTTAAGGGTAAATATTTTAGTAGCCAACAACTTGTATAAATGGATGCATATGTACATATTTATAAAAATAACTTTAATGTCAATTCTCTTTTGAACATTTTAATGGATAATTGTAATGAAAAAGAATGGAGTTTGCATATTTATGTCAATTTGTATTTTTAAGGATATCATCTTTATACTTTTAGAAATTTGAGTTATTCATAGGTTACCTTTTTTACTATAAATTATGTTGAACTTTAATGTTTGCTATATTAAGATGTCATTTTAGATTCCATAGTCCATAATAAATTGAGAGGATTAAGTTAATACTTAATCATTTTTATCATTTCTAAGCAAAACTACTACATTTATATTTCATTCAGAGTGTTTTACTTTGTTGCCCCAGAGTTAATATTAATATCCATTGATGTAAATAATATATACATAGATTTTAATATGCATGCCAGGAATTAATAATAAACTGAATAAAATAATCCTGTATAGAATTTCTTCAACTTAAGTCCAAGGTTTTTTTTGTTTTTTTTTTACTCTTGTGAAGTTTCTATTTGGAGGTAGAGATAAGCCTTTTATTTATTACTTTATTCAGGCTACAAGTAAACTTTTTTCCCCTCATTTTTAGGGTATGTTTTATAATTGATGTATCACCTGTTTGGACCTGGTATGACTACATTTATACGGAGTCCACAAAATAATCCCTGTTTTAGCATTTAAACGTGAAACTTGCTCCTTTACTGAAATGCTTTTCCCCTTTGTTGAAAGGGGCGGTGGTCAGGCAGAAAGGTATCCTATGAGCTCCCCTCTCCTTTGACAGGCAGAGTCTAACCTCCATTCAGTAGAATGTGTTTTAAAAGTCTCCCCTCCCCCTTGAGAAGTTCCCTGAACAGCACTGCATAAAGCCCTGGCAAGACTCTGTAAAGCTAAGCTACTAGGATGTCTTTAGAAGGCAGAGAGGGCTTATTGACAAGCGCTATTGCCTGGCCTTCCCTGAATCAATACCCCACCAAGGAACAGAAAGGAAGGAGCCCCAGAAGCAAAGGCAGCTGCGGATGTGTGGTCACATCGTACAGTCAGCCAGGCGCCCTCTCGCCTCTCGCCCACACCTTCGTGCAGCCAAGTCAGGTGGGATGCATCTGTTTGTGTTTTAATATCTTGTCTTTACACATCTCAGCCCTTAGTGATTTGGAAATGAGCATTAATGCTAGTTATTACTCCCATTTTTCACAGACATCACTAAATGTACTTTCTTTTGCCTTTCAACATGTAAATCTTTTACACAAAAATCTCTTGGGTATTATTTTGTTTTGGAATTGTGTCCCATTTCTTCGCTCTATTTAATATTTTTGTATATCCTGCCAGTTACTCTCGCTTTTTTACATCTCCTTTAAGAGAAAACTATTTTACACATATACACTATGACAGACAGTGAGGGACCAATTATATATAGTAAAAACAATGTGAAACCTTATTTATGATAGTTTCAGAGTCATTTTCAGCTCATCTAACAATGGATTTTCAAATGTAAAGTTATTTGTATCTATCCATTCGTCCTCACATTAATATGTGTATAAAGTACTTTTATTTGGTTGACAGTCTGTCACTGAATTCTAATGAGCAAATGCAATGTAAGCATTTTTCATAATGACATTTCTTCTCATTATTTGATAGCATAATAGTTCTCTTTACATGTCTATTCTGATTAAGTTGTGTTTTCCAAACTAAAGATAGTAGGTATTAATACCTTCCCTTAACTAACGTTTAGTCTTGTCTAATTTATTATTTTGACAGACTCTACCAAACAGGAGTAGGGGCACATTCATCATCATAGTGAGAAAATTTTACTCTGGCTTGAAAATTATGTAACTGCTAAAAGAAAAGCCAGAACCAAGAAAACTATGATTAACAACCCTCCTAAAAATCCACAATTTTTTTAAAGTCATCATTTTATTAAGTTTTTCAGACAAAATAGATTGTCCTATAGTTCAATCAGTTTTATTTTTTATATTATCTCTATGGGGAAAAAAATCATCCCTGGTAAGAATGGTTTTCCTTATTTACTTTATGTACTCTCTTTTTATTAATCCAATTGGTGAGAAATTTAATCTTTTATACATTCAAAATAACAAAATTGACCTGATATACTAAGCCAACACAATATAAACTTAAAGCAATATTTCACTAACATACTTTTAACATATTTTTCATTGAGAACAATGTGACTCACAGTGTTCTTTTGTAACCAGTTTTCTTGTGAATAATTAATGACAAGCAGTTTTCCAAAGATTGAAAACTGACATTCTCATGGTGAATATTTTATATTTATTTACTTTCAGCTCCAAAACATAAGCAGTGTATTTTACAGCATATTCTTCATAGCCTTGCTTTCTTAGTCATGTTTTTAACACCTGTTGAACTGACAAAATATGCACAAAGTAAAGGAATTTACTTCAAGTTTATATATGTAAGGACTCACAAGTCCAACAATTCAAACTTACAAATCTTTGGGAAATTAAAACTTTATAATATTAAGCAGAATCTTGCATTTCTTTTAGTAAATGTTAACAAAGGTATTCTGCCAGAATTTTCAATATTTTAAAATAAAACAAACAATATTAGTTGTATGATGCAGTAACCCATTGTAGGGTCATAGATTATCTCTAATGGTCTAAGCTGAAATCAGCACAAATGGTTATCATGGACAAATGTATTATAAATGACATAGAGCAGTGCTTTCAGCATAATCTGACTCCTACACACCACATGGATGAATCTGAAAAACATAATATTAAGAAAAACAGTCACACACAAAAATCCTGCCATTTGATTCTACTTGCGTGTTTTTAAAATAGGCAAGGCTAAAACAGAGTTTTAGGGATGTAAGCTTGTGTAGTAGCACTATAAAGAGAAGCAGGAAATAATTACTACAAATGTTACAACAATTATCTCTGGGGAAAGGACAGGGATGGGAGTGGGGGAGGGGCATGGGAGGACTTCTAGGGCCTTCAGCTGTCCTCTCTCTTGACTGGGCTAGTGAGTGCATGGATGTTTACTAAGTGATAAGCCAGTGAGCTTCACATCTTCATTCTGTTCACTTTTATACATATCTTTACAACTTAAAAAAGGTTAAGTATAGAAAAAAGTGGGACATGGCCTTATGTTAATTTCTAAGTCTGATGCAATGATATTCCTTGTCATTGAAAACACTTTAAACTATAAGATAAGACTCCTTTTTTTAAATAGTGTTATTTGCCCTGCTTTGGCCTGTATGGCCCAGCTGATTGGAGCATAGTCCCACACACCAAAACGTGGCCGGTTTGATAATGGTTGGGGTGCATGTGAGAGGAAACAGGTGGATGGTTCTCTTTCACATTGATGTTTTTCTCTCTCTGTCTCTTTCCCCTCCTCTGCCTGAAGTCAATTTTTAAAAAAAAGTGTTATTTATCCCATTAAGTCTGCTAACAAACTTTTAGTATAATTCTCTGGATGTGTGGGTTTGAGAGAAGGGGAAGGAGGAAGTGAGAGGAGGGGGTCAGAAAAGAATAAAGAATCGTACTGTTGGTTTGGAGAGGAATAGGTCTGCCCTCTCCAAGTTATCTCTCTCTGTATTGCAGCATCAGGGAAAGAAAGCTGCCCAGGTTAAATTTAGAGCTTGGAACAAAGATACCTTTGTATCATGATGCTAATGGAAGGGACTTGTGCATTCTAGCTGGTGCTAATAATGGAATAAACTTCTAGCTTTTACTAATACTGGAATAAACTTGTAGTACCCTAATTCTTGGAACTCCCGGGATCTATTTGATAATAGGTACCTCAGCTTTTCAGCTCTGATGGAGTTACAAGGTGATGTGTTGCAAGTCCTCTTATTTTCTTCCCTTAAAAAATTAATCTTAGGTGAGGATTGTCAAATGTCCTCGCACACATAGTTTATTATAGATGTAGGTTGTATCCCTTTAAGTGGACACACTATAAAATTCATCAAACATACCTGGAGTTCTGCCTCGTGCCACAGTGTAAGATTGCAGCACTCATGCTTAATATTTTGTGGGTCAAGCTGTTGCAAAATGGTGTGTGAATAAAAACTGGCCTATTTTAGAGCTATAATAAGATTGTCAAACACTTAATCATATGACTTCTGGTTATCTACTGCAATAGGTATAATTCTGTGAGACTTAAAATAAAACCACAAAGCCACCAAAACTTAATGTTAAATAAAATAGAACTGATTATTATTTCTAGCTGGCCTACCTACTCTTCCTTAGTTGAAAGGAATAAAGTAGAAATAAAAGCCCTTTTATTGAAAAGAATTTGGAAAGTCAAGACAACTCTTTCCGATTCAATTCTTTGGAAGTAGACAAAGAGAATATTATAGCTGTCAGCAGATGCTTGACACTGGAAGGAGAGTGTCATTATAATGGAGGAGCTAACAATATCTTCAAAGGTCATCATTCAGGTACAAAAGTGAAGGCCATTTGTCCATTGGCCTCCGCCTGGGCTTTCAGTCTAAACCCTTGGCAACTCAGAACTTCATTCGGTATTTTACGTGTCAAATCCTCCACAATGGCCGAGCTAGAATATGTCATTATTTGCAAAATGCCTTCAAAAAGGTGAACTCACATGAAATGGTAAGTGACTGAAACCCTGGTTTTAAGCTCAAGATGTTAAAATGATAGATTTTGATAGGTAAAATGACAGGTGAAGATTTGTGTTAAAGGAGCGTCGCCATTGGAAGCCAACTATGATGGCTGGGGTGCTTCAAGAGTCAGGATGCCTGAAATTAGGCATGTTGTAGAGTGAAGCATTTTCATCCATCCACACAGGGTTCTGACATTGAACGTGTGTTCCTTCCATTCTGTTCACAGGCTCACCTCGTGGCAGCTTTTGAAAAGAGTTTAGGGAATATGACTGGCCGACTGCAAAGTCTCACCATGACAGCAGAACAAAAGGTATGTCCAGGAATTGCCACTGGGGCTTAAAATAAGATGGCAAGTTGAATCGGATGTTTAAACCTATTACCTGAAATGCTGCTCCTTAAAAAAAAATATTGCAGAACATCCATCCTGTGATAAATTGGAACAATGACAAGGTGTAATGCTTTTTCATGTTTCCACTTAAGGATTTATGATTCAGATGAATCCATATTGGAACACACACACATATGCGCACACATGCAGTTCTTTCTAGGTTACTTCTGACTGTAACTCTTAAAAGAATATCACCTATTAAGAAAGAGAAATAAATGTAGAGGAGGAGAGATAGACTGCTTTAGGCACAATTTGTTATACAGTTGATAAAATTGCGCTCTGACAAGAATTTTCACAAATGCCCATCAGAAGGCCTGTGGCTGAGATACTCATGAAGAAGGCCTGGTACAGGTGTTAGGATGCTACAAGGGAAGGGCTTTGAGTTACAGGTCCTATGGGACAAGGAACAATCTTGTGCAATTTTTTAATAAAAAGAATTAGTTGGCACCTGGGGATGCTGTGTTTTAAAAAATTAAATTACCGTATTTTCCGGCATATAAGACAACCCCCTAACTTTACAGTTAAAACGTAGGTTTAGGCCTATATTTGCTGTATAAGACTACCTTCCACTTCAAAGAAAAGACTTACTTTGCCGTCAAGATCTGCAGGTAATTTTGGTCTTTTTGCCCCCCGATTTTCGGTTGACTTTTTTTTTGTTTCAAAAGTCGTCTTATACACCGGAAAATACCGTATACCAAAAACTTAAAAAATAAGTAAGAAATATTTTATGAATTAGAAAAAGGAATACTAAAAAGGAAGAAGCAAAGAATTTTGTTCACAAAAGCAGGATGAGCATTTACATGCTTCCTAGAAACAGCATGGACACTTGCATGTGATGACCAATAACTTACCTCTACCATTAGCGTGGTAGCCCTGAGTCTGGATGGGTGTCAGAATCACGTGAAGTTTCTCAAATGGTAGAAAGTGTTTTTGAAAAATGAATGTGTGTATAATGTAAGCAGATGTCTACATCTACTCAAATGCTCTAATGCTCAAAGGGATTCATAATCTAAAATGTTTTGGATAGTTCCAGAATCACTATATCTACAGGGATGCCTTCTATTTTGACTTTAGTCCTATTAAGTGTGTTATAGTAAAGTTAAAAAAAACACACACACACAAAAACACACACAAACAAGTGGAATGAAGAGCCCAATTAAACTAAAAGAGAATATCAAATAGCCCTATAATTGCCTGCTATAATTAGCAAACTGTATTCTATTTGCCCTTATCTTCCTTTCTCCTATTTCATAGCTTTTTCCTGCCCATGAAAGAGTACACTGTCCATCCCCGTCAAACCTGTTCTGCAAGGGAAGATAACAAAGTCCTTTGAACACATAAATTGTATCTTAGTCTTTTTTTGGATGTGGGTTAGCATTTACCTCTTCACTGTGTAACCTAAGAAGTCGGCAAACATAATTACAAGGGCCTTTTAGGACAGCTGAATGGGAAAGAATGGAAACCTCAGAGCCCACTAGGCCTGGGTGTAAATCTCAGGGGTATCTCTTTAGTGAAATTAGCTGTGGAATTTTCCTTTTCTGACCCTCACAGTCATCATTTTAAATTGGGGCTTAAACAACTACTTTGATGAAGAGTTAGGAGGAATAAGTGAGATACTATGATGTCACATGCATAATCAATAAGGTTACCTTCTTTTACATTTCTCTGCTTATTTTTTTCCTTTTAAAAATGTAAGAGAAACAAACTTACCATTGGCCATATGTCAGGCATATTGCTGGAAATCTTGAAGAAGTTCAAATTAATATATTTTTGCCCCCATATTTTTTAAAACTCTTTTTTATTTGTAAACTAGAGGCCCGGTGCATGAAATTCATGCATGGGAATGGGGAATGGGGGAAGTGTCTCTCAGCCAAGCCTGCACTCTCTCCAATCTGGGACCCCTCACAACCCAGGACTGCTGGCTCCCAACTGCTCGCCTACCTACCTTCCTGATTGCCCTTAACCACTTCTGCCTGCCAGCCTGATCACCCCATAACCACTGCCATGCCAGCCTGATTGATGTCTAACTGCCCTCCCCTGCAGGCCTGGGTACTCCCCAATTACCCTTTTCTGCAGGCCTACTCACCCCCAACTTCCCTCCTCTGCTGGCCTGGTCATCCCTAACTGCCCTCTCCTGCAGGCTTAATTGCCTCCACCTGCCCTCCCTTGCAGGCCTGGTCCCTCCCAACTGTCTTTCCCTGCTGGCCATCTTGTAGCGGCCATCTTGTGTCCACATGGGTGCAGCCATCTTTGACCACATGAGGATAGTCATCTTGTGTGTTAGAGTTACAGTCTATTTGCATATTACTCTTTTATTAGATAGGATTAGATAGGACAGAGGCCTGATGCTTGGGTGGGGACTGGCTGGTTTGCCCTGAAGGGTGTCCCAGATCAGGGTGGGGATTCCCTTGGGGCATGGGATGGCCTGGGCAAGGGGCCTGTGGTGGTTTGCAGGCCAGCCATGCCCCATGGTGACCCAAGTGGAGGCCCTGGTATCTGAGATTTACTTATCTTCTTTTTTTTTTCTTAAATAAATTTTTATTGTTCATATTATTACAAATGTTCCCCTCCCCCCCCTTCCCACCCCACCCTCTGCCCTTTCCCCACCCCCCATTGTCCTCATCCATAGGTGCACAGTTTATGTTCAGTCTCTTCCCTTTTCCCCAAGAATCATCAGTTCACTCCCCTTCCATACCTCTGATTCTATTATATTCAACAGTTAATATTGTTCCTCAGATTTCTTTTTTTAATTTCCTTGGTTTTTAGATTCACTTGTTGATAGTTACGTATTTGTTGTTCATAATTTTTATCTTTATTTACTTTCTCTTCTGAAAGAACCCCCTTCAGCAATTCATATAATTCTGGTTTGGTGGTGATGAACTGCTTTAGCTTTTTTTTATTAGTGAAGCTCTTTATCTGACCTTCGAATCTGAGTGATAGCTTTGTTGGATAGAATATCTTTGGCTGTAGGTTCTTACTATTCATCACCTTAATATTACTTATCTTCTATAATTGAAACTTTGTAGCCTTGAGCACAGGCCAGGGCAGGCCAGTAAGTTTGGCTTCCTCCATCAGCATGGAAACCCAAGACTCCTGCTCGCTCTGTGGCCACAGCCATTTTTGTTGGTATTTATTTATCTTTTATAATTGAAATTTTGTAACCTTCAAAGGAGGCAGGGCAGGTCAGGGCAGGCAGAAAGCTTGGCTTCCTCCATATCTGGGAAAACCCAAGTTGGGTTAATTTGCATACTCACTTCTGATTGGCTGGCAGGTGTGGCTAGTGGGTGTTGCAGAGGTGCAGTCGATTTGCATATTATTTTATTATATAGGATAAGATAAATATCTCATAGAAATTGGGGGAAATAATGCTGGTCTGTTCATTTATAATGCCAATAACTAATGCCTGGATATTTTAAAATACATCTCCGCAAAATAAGGAATTGTTTAATTTATGCACGCGTTATCCTTAAAGTAATATTGCTAAATCTATTATATTTTCTCAGAAGATAAAATAATGTGTAAAATTGCCCTTGCCATTTTTTTTAACTGATGGCTCTTCTCTAATTGAAAGCTGTACACACACATGTTAGTAACCATGTTAGTAATCTGATATTTATAACTTGCCTGTTTCCAAGTGGTTTTGAGATTCTTTGAGATTCTTACAAAATCCATTGCAATATGCTATAACACAATTCAGTGACAGAATCTAGTGAAATTCAGTGGAGGGATGTATCTAACAAGATGCCCTATCCTGTATAATTGCTGCCCCAAGCACTAAACTGAAATTAATGTCAGGAACACTAAGGCACAAAGCAAGACTGCTAGGCAAGTTTAGTTCTCATTCTCTGAGCAGAACATAATTTAGATCAAGGAGATAAACTTTGTGGCACTGAATTCAAGAACAAATGTATTGTAAAGTTTCTCAAATTGAGGTCATGGAATAACAAAAGACAAAATCTCTGTTCTAATAGGCATTTCTCTAAAAGCTGAGCACGTAACATTTAATCACATTTCGGTAAAACCATTTCTTCAGGGAGCTGAGATAAAAGGGTCTATTGCTCTCTGGTGACCCAACAATCCTGAGGAAAAGATTAGAGAATTCAGAGCAGAGTTCCTGGTGTTCCACAGTTTGTTCAATGTCCATTTAGTCATTCATCCAAGTTGTACTGAATTTCTACTCTATATGAGGAACTGTACTAGCTCCTAAGAATTCAGTGTGTGTGTGTGTGTGTGTGTGTGTGTGTGTGTGTGCGCGCGCGCGCGCATGTGCACTATTTTATCACTAGTTATAATGTAAATAGATTTTTATTCTAGTAGGTAACACACTCAATAAAAGTATAAGTGAAATATAGTATTTTAGGTGAAGATAAGCACCCACTGAAAAATTTAAGTGAGAATGAGCACATTGGGAAACAAGGTAGGATACTAATAGGCTGCTAATACATAAAGAAAAAAAGTCTAGTCCTGACCAGGTAGCTCAGTTGGTTAGAGTGTTGCCCAATAGGCCAAGGTTTCTGGTTCTATCCTCAATCAGAACACATATACAAATCAACCAATAAATGCATAAATAAGTGGAACAATAAATTGAACTTTATTTCTATCTCCTTCTCTTTCCCCACTCTCCTCTCAAATCAATTTAAAAACCAAAGGCTAAGGTGGTACATGCTCTTGGTTTCTTACTTAATATAGAGAAAAAACTAGGACTCAAGGCCAAGTCTTCTGGCTTATTATGGCTTTAAAGTATAATTTTTTCAATCAGATGCCATTAATAGTCTGAAAACTATATCAAAACTTTAGTTCTCTGTATGGGCCTAAATCATTCCCTTCAATAAAATCATTCTTTGTTTCCAAAAGCCAAATCAGACTGATTTTCTTACTTTTCCTGCTTTTAGAGACTTATATCCTGGTAAGGAAGAAAAGTA